TCTTGTAGAAACTGAAATTCAAGTGATTCAATTCATAAATGAAGTATACCTACCTGAAGAGCCTCAGAATACTAATATTTATGACATGAAATCAGTATCTACCGCGGACATATATGATACAGTCAGAAAACATACAGTTATATTTGAAAATAAGTCGGTGTTATCTTTCTCAAGATGGTGTTCGAATGCTCGTTTATCATTCTTAAGAGCCCAGGAAGAACGAAAAAACAATATTCGAGTAAGATCTTGTTATGTTATGGATGAGCAATTCCACGGTAAGCTCAAATGTTGGTGTAATTAAAGTATTTTGTTAACCAATTTCTTGATAGATGACATAAAATCAGCAATTTGCCAATTTTTACCTCTGTATCAGGAGTCAATAAAAAATTTAAAGCGAAATGGGTTTGAAATAGTGGGATATGCTCGCAAGTCCCCTTCAAATGATAAAAATGAAAACAGGGTGAAACTTCTGCAGAAAATGGTGGACAACTTGCAAAGTCGCTCCTTGACAACCAGAATATATGTCTCTTTTTCCAGTTGCGCATCCACTCCTTTCAGCGAAAGAGATACCACGACCAATAAATCTATGATTGCAAAATTAAGCAATGTGAACGGAGATACACAAGGTAAGTCATAATAGATGAAAACATAAGGTAGAGCTCACTCTATTAATTCACTACAGATATGCTTCATTATTTACAATCTGCAGACCGTGACATCTGTTTGGTATCCATCGATTATGCGGGGCTTACATCAAGACCACAAGAGCTAAACAGGTTGATCGAAAACAATGATAAGATAAAAAAAATTGCAATTGATACTTTTGCTTTGGACAATGAAATCCACCTATTTGATACAAAGCTTTTAGTATCTGATCCCACACTTCTTACCAAGTTTGATTGCCGAAAGAAGATTTTACAACGACCAAAATAACAATTGCAAAATTCATGAATAGTATAAATAAACATTTCAAATAGTTCTGTTATATTTGGGTTTGGATAGATTTAAACAAAGTAAAAAATACGATGAGACTGTGTTGTATCTTTATTCAGAATAAACTGAAGAGAAAAGAGGTGATAGCACAATCTATAATTATACATTAAGAAGCTGAGGTATTTAAACTGAGTCGACTATATTTGATTAAGGTGTAATAGATCTTATACCAACATTAGGTTTAACTCTAGACATTGCATTTAAGCACTGAATAGTAGCGTAAATACTACAAGTTCTACGGTTAATTTTCGGAAACTCTGGTAGGATAAAGATGATGTGAATGGCTTT